TTACTGTGCTGTGAGGCCCACAGTGACACAGAATGTGCGTCAGATGGTACAAAAACAGTTACAGCTTCTCTGAGAAACAGCAATGACAGACCTGAACTGGATGCAAGACTGATATAGATTATTTTCTATGTCATGTCAAATGCTAACCAGTCAAGAGTTAAATTGCTGCAAACAAGGTGTTGAAATTTTGTTTTGTGTTTGCTAATTTAATGTGCTGAATTCGTCTAAGTGAGATGTTATGGTCAGTTTCTGTAAGAAGTAATGCACTGTTATAGCAATGGCTGTAAAAAACATTTATTTAAAGTTACAGCCACAAAAACACAGGATCATGAGAACCATTTACTGTATCAATAGAATGACTCATACAATTTATCAAGTGCACATGTAAAAAACTTGTGAAAAATGTAATGTTTTCTCTGATCCCCAAAATTGTCACTGGTGTTGGTAGGGCTACTTTGAGGAAATTTAGTTTAGCAATGCCTTGTTTAAGTTCATCAAGGGCTTTTAATTGGTCCACTTACAGTAAGCGTGAATCAGGGCAGTAAAGGGAGAGGTGACTGAACTGCACCCCCAAAATGAATTGGCAATAAAAACAGACAAAGCCCAGGAATTGCTGGTAATAAATTTCATTGAATGGATCATGCCCCATCATGTTCTAGGAGACTCAGAGGGTGTTTTCCTTTGGTTTGATTTTAATTTGTGTGCTGGGTAAATATTCCATGTTGAACCAGAGTGGAAATGGTTGTCATAGAGCTGAGATTAGAGGATGGAAACCCAACGTGTGATCAGTCTAAGAGAGTCCAGCACAGCTCTCCCCGTCATGTAATGTTAGGTTATTTAGAATAGAATAGAATAGAATAGAATAGTATAGAATAGAACAGCCTTTATTGTCATTTTACAATATACAACAAATTAAAATTTTACTTGTAATTAATACTGAAATAATATCAAGATCTTTCCTTTTAACATATTCATTTGGATCATCCCGCTACCCCATGTATGGAAAAAAAAAAATGAAATGCAAAAATTATGTCATAAGACACTATTATGCAAAAATCCTGTTTGTGTGGGGAGAGCTGAAGATATTGTGATCTTAGTGACAAGAGATGTGCCTGTAGCTCACAGTATATATGTGACTCTGAGTTATAGACAGTCTATTATCTATTCTGGTACAGTCTCCTAATCACTCACAATTATACAGTAAAATGCTATAGACACAGAGATGGAAACAGTGCTCTGGAATTTAAAGAGAGATTAATTGCAAGTGTGAATATAAGGCTAAAAACCGAACCTTTAACAGAATGGAAATTACAATTATCTGAATTGGTTTGTAAAGTAAAAAGGTATATATGTGGTATATATGTATGAAACAGACATGTAATGTATACAGCCAATAGAGGGGGTTTATTCCTGAGAGGGAGGTCATGTGACATGCATAATTTCATTAAAACAACAAATCAAGGAGCAGAACTCAATAGACCAGAGTGAAGACCAGTGCTAATTTCTGTTACTGCCTATCACATACAGTATGGAGAAGTCATACATCTTAGTTATCATAACCTTCACCACAGGTAAGTATTTTTAAAAATCGTATCATGGGTTTAGTAAATTTATTTGCTGGGCTAAAATCCTCTTTTTGAATTACGTGTATTCCTTTTTTCTATAGGCTTAACTGTAGGTGATGACATCAGTCCTGATAAAGAAGAAGTTTCCAGTAATGAAGGAGAATCAGTGACACTGAGCTGCAATTACAGAGCAAGCAGTGACAATATTTTTCTGTACTGGTACAGACAGCACTCTAATCGGGCACCACAGTACCTCCTGTTTAAAGGTGCTGGGGGATACAGTGGTTTTGAGGATATTTCCAATGACAGATTCCAGTCTGCTACATCCAGCACCTTCACCCAGCTCACCATTACCAGTCTTACCATAGCAGACACAGCCATCTACTACTGTGCTCTGAGGGTTGCACAGTGATCAAAGGTTACTCAGGCGCTGTACAAAAACTCATCTGACAAGAGTTTTCTCTCAGTGGGCATCAGAAGTAGCTTCCTTCCCACAATCTGGGATCAGTTCCAGAGCAGCAGATGTTCAGGTATAAAGCTGGTTATTGTGGTTACATCAGTCAGAGGAGCTGATGGCTGAGATACTGAAGTAAACAGAGCAGGAATCTGCAAATGATACAGTCTGTGTTTTTCCTAGAGAATTAAATATAGAATAATATTGCCATATATACTTCCAAGTGTGGAGAAAAATAAATAAAATGTGAAAATGTCATGTGGATCTAAGGGTTTACATAGTCATTGACTTTCATTCCAAAGTGATGTACAAACAAGGCAAACAGCACATTGAAATCTTTGCTGCTGAGGTGTCGATTTAATAAGAGCAACATAAGAGCAGCAGCTTGAAGCTTCCTATGAATGTCCAGCTGAAAGTGTGACCACTGTCAGAGCAAACTTAGTATCTTCATTTTCACTTTATTTCATTTATTTGACATTTTATTTTAGTGGTTCTCAACCCATGTGAATCAGTGTATGTAAGCGTCATAATGGAAAGTAGTGGGAAAACATTTTAAAATAAATTTGAGAGAGAGCTACAGTACTTTACACAACGTGTAGTTAGAGTATAGGATAGTCTTGCTGCTAGTGTAGCGCAAGCTAAAACCCTGGGATCCTTTAAATCAGAGCTAGATAAGATTTTAATAACTCTAAGCTATTAGTTAAGTTCTCCCCAAACGACCTTGATGGGCCGAACGGCCTCCTCTCATTTGTAAATTTATGTTCTTATTTTATGTGCTTCAGAAAATTGGCATACAAGTACAGCAGCACTTCATCAATGCTGAGGCGTTAAAGTCTTTCTCTTTTAGGGTTGCAAAATTCTAGGAATATTCTTGTTAATTCCCATACTTTCCCGTTAATTCCCATGGAAAGTTTCTAATGTGGAATATTTCCAAAATTCCCCAGCTTAACTTCCCATGGAACGGAAAGTTTCAGGAAAATTTCCAGAAATTTTCCAGCCCTTTGCAACCCTATTCTCTTTGTGCTTATAGCCAAAATGTTTCCAATAATTTATTTTCTGGTTGTGCATGTAATTTGGCCAGTTTTTTAATAAAAAAAACTATTTATCATTAGTTTTACAACAGGGGAAAATATTCCTGAATGACTATCAGCTTGTGAAAAACGTGAAACTTTCATCTCAAAGAAGGCATGCACTGCAGAAGACTGTAGGCTTCCATGTGTGGATGGTGGCGAGATCCATGTGACACTGGGATCTAAGAAAGAAATCACAAAGTTTGGGACCACCACCCCAGTTATTTCACTGCAGAAAATTGAACAGATTGTGTTTTTATTTGATGGTATTCATTGTTGAATTATGGTATTAGTCTGCACTACAGCAAATACAAGTGATGCATTCCAGTGATGTTTAATTTCCAGTATTATTTTTCCAGGCTAAATGTACCAAGATTGTATAATGAGTAAAACCCTGAATTCCAAAACAAATCTCATGTACATATTGGTATACTTGGTGTAAAAATACAACTCCCATATCTCAACTCTCAATGGCACTATTTAAGAATTTATGAATTGTTGCGGAAAATATACTAAACGAACACTAGAGGGAGGTATTTCCAGCCCATTAAAATTCTCCTTCTAACAGAAACGCACCCAGACCTGAGAAACCTATTCCAGGTATGACAGATCAGTTATTGATGTGAGTAGCCACAGTGATACAGCAGATCGGAGTGTATTCTTAAGTCATTTTGGGAGGCTGTACTGTAGCTGAGACAAAATGTATTTTTTCATAATAATTCTGACCAATGGAATACTCTGTAAGTATGTTTAAAGTACTATTAAAATATGTAGGCATGTCATTTATGTTTAATTGGAAGTATAATTATAGTTTAATCTGCCTGTTGCAGTCGGAGTGGAAGCAGATAAAGTCAATCAGCCTCCTTTGATTTATTCACCTGAGGGAGACAAAGCTGTACTGACATGCAGCCATGATATTACAGACTTCGGGTCTATGTACTGGTATGTACATCATCCAAACAAGGCTCCTGAAGCTCTACTTTATGGATTTGATAAGGTTGATCCTAAAGGAAGATTCTCAATGGGTGTGAACAGAACAGAACGTCTGACCAACCTCTCCATCAGTGACAGTAGGACAGAAGACACAGCTGTGTATTACTGTGCTGTGGGGCCCACAGTGACACAGAGTGTGTGTCTGATGGTACAAAAACTCAGCTACAGCTTCTCTGAGAATCAGCAATGACAGATCTGTACAAGAAGCTCTGAGTTAAAAACCTCATCTACATAGGAGCTCCTTCCACATTCATTTATTGATAAATAATAATTCACTGCAGTCTTATATTGCTTATATAATTAGTAATTACTATATAATTAGTAACTGTAATTGTATGTACAATTATTTATTTTGTGTCTCTGCCCATTCATAAAATCAGCTACAACTATTGATTTACTTATTTCAGAAATTTTTCTAAACCTGCATTTGTATGTCGTTCATCACTGTATTTGTATGTCGTACTTAACTGGCCATAACACCAGGACACCAAATAAGGACACCCTGGGGCTGATTGGCCAGTGGGAAGTTTGGGAATTTTCCCTGTGGGCTGGTCTATCTTCTACCGTCTATTTAGTCTATATGGATATGGTCAGCAAAATATGGTGAGAGGACAGCAAATTATGTTTTTTGCATGCCCCTGAGTGAGGAGGATTCCTGTTATGATTAGTGGTTGAGTATGTATGGCCATCCTAATGCTTGTTGTTAAGCCAATGATATTCATCATATGTAAGCAAATTAAATTGTTAGATGCAGCAAAATAAGGATAAAAAGTGAGAGAGGGAGGGCTGTCAGTCACAGTGGAACAAGCGTGTTGTTTTGGGGCAGTAGAGGAGTTTCCTGTTAGACCTGACCTTGGTAGCAGAGTATTCAGTTCAGTCTGTCTCTCTCCATCTGCCATGATGTTACTCTGTTCATTCCTTCTCTTTTCAGCACTTGTGGGTAAGTGACATACTGCATTTAGTTCTTAATTATTACCTGTGTCATTTTCATAAATAAACTTAATATGTATATTGAAATTGAAATATGGGTTTTTTAGTTTGACTATTAATGGTAAATATTGCCCTGAATCCTCTTTTCCACAGGACACAGTACTGAGGATGCGATTACACCTTTTAATGACACAGTGCATGTTACAGAAGGTGACAATGTTACACTCTCCTGTAACTACAGTGGATTTGTAAATAACCTACAATGGTATCGTCAGTATCCCAGCTCAGCACCAGAATATCTCTTGCTTGTCACTGCAGTTACAGGGACCATACCGAACACCAAGCCTCGAATGTCAGTTAAAATTGACAAGGAGAACAAGCGTGTAGATCTGGAGCTCTCTTCTACAGAAGTGACAGACTCTGCAGTGTACTACTGTGCTCTGAGGCCCACAGTGACAGGAAACTCACTGACGCTGTACAAAAACCTTACTGCACTGCACTACTTAATATGGTTAATTTAATGTATATAAACAGCTCATGAAGGTAAATACATTTTATGGCCTCCTCAGCCCTGCTGTATTCTGTGTTTGACTTCTGTTACAGCAATAATTACATGTAAATATGACCTAGCTTATGATCTTATATCAGGTGAAAGGTGGGGGGGTTGGGGGGGAGTGTCTATCCCATACATGACTATAAATACCAGAAACTTGAAAGAAACAGAGAGAGAGCATCTGAAATTTACATCCAAGGAGCAGGGAGCAGTAGGCAAACCCACAGAATTGATGATACTGTGCATCCAATGGACATTGTTAGTTTTAAATTGTTTACATGAATATAACAGAATATATTTGAATTCTGTAACATAAAGTTTATTATTACTACAACTAATTATTATGATATGGCTAGTATTTTGAGAGTCTTTTATTATTATTATTATTATTATTATTATTATTATTATTATTTATTATATAACTCCTGTACAAAATGTAGCAAAGACAAAGTTAGGCGTAAGGCAAAATGTTTAACGTGAATGATGGTAAACCTTATTATCATGCCTCAGCTGCAGATACTAATGGTGAACTAAACACTACAGTGAAATCGGCAAATATGCAAGAAACACATTATGAGAGAGGAAGTAAATAAATGATTTGAGACAGCAGGTGGTGCTGTTTCTGCTTCTTTAAAGTTCAAGAGCTGGAAAACATTAGACGCTGTGAGGTTATAATCACAATCAGATGTCATGTACTTAATGAGATGTTTATCCATTGCATTTCATTCCACTTTCTTCTGCTTATCCGGGGTCGGGTCGCAGGGTCAGCAATCTAAGTAGGGATGCCCAGACCTCCCTTTCTCCAGCCACTTCCTCCAGCACCTCCGGGGGAATACCAAGGCATTCCCAGGCCAGCTGAGACCCCCTCCACACCTTGGCTATGCCTAGAAATTCTCTCCATAAAAATGATTAACAGAATTGGTGACAGAGGGCAGCCCTGACAGAATCCTTACCACCGAAGAGTTTTTTGGCTACTTCACTGACCTCAACCCCTAGAGGCGGGCAAGTCCCCTCCTGAGTCTTCCAGCTCCACTTCCTCCAAGGACGGTGCATCAGTGGGATTCTGGAGATCCTCAAAATATTCCTTCCACCGCCCGACAATATCCCCAGTTGTGGTCAACAGTTCACCATCCCTGCTGCAAATAGCATGTCATACAAGAACCTGATTATGGCCTGATGTCCTTCAGAGAGATTGGAAACAAGAAAGACTGGACTGTATACCTTATAAAGATATACAGTACATCAAAATCTGTATTTTCATAACAGAAATGAAGCCAAAAGCAAAAAGGAAAGAAAAAACCCACAATAAACAGGTTAAGGTTAGATGACAGCTGAATGCTTAGCCTGTCAGGGGAACAGAGAAACACATGTCTGTTTATTTTTCATGCATTTGTGTGACTGGGAATCAATGA